TGCTGTGTCAGCAGAGAGGTTCTCTGATAAGTTCCATTTGAAAGCTTTAGGTGCATCTTGGATATCTGGCGATTCAAGACTGTTAGAAATCCTTCTTAAAGGGTTTGTCGATATTGACATTGACAGCGCTCTGTGATCGGAATATTGAGAGATGCTCTCAATTTTCAGGTGGCGGACTCTGTCATGAAGACTCGTCGAGACGCAAATGTAATCAACTGTGCTGACACCATGCCGCTGAATACAGGTGGGTTCACCGAATATGTCGCCGAGAGTTCTGCCATTTAGGATGACTAGGCCTGTCATCTGAAGGAGTTCGATGAAGGGTCGCCCATTCGTGTTTAGCTTTGGGTCTGAGTTATTGCGTTTAGCCAGCTTTTTAGAGAAATGAGCGTCGAGCTCTGTATCCTTCATTAGACTATGGTCTGATAACATGTCGTCCAGAGTGCCAGTTCTAGCATTGAAATCCCCGAGAAGAATGATATCCTCGTTCAGAGGAACTCCAGCCAGGAATTCTTGAAGATCCTCTAGAGTTGACATACTGTCTTCAGTTTCCAGACCTTTTCTTCGCTTCTTGTAGGATCCATTTTTGGGTGAGTCATAGACATTGATAATATAGGTGTTTCGGTCTAGGTCGAAGTAGTTAGCTTTAAGCTTAACTACAACGATATCTTCCCTGGAATTCATACGAACGTTGGTTACACCAGCTTTTAAGCTTTTGTGAACTCCGATACATACTCCGCCTGAATTTGATCCCTTCCTGTTAGAGTTAAAGCAACAGTAGTTACTTAAGTTGATCTCCCCTTTTGTTTCTTGCAGAGCAAAAATATCGTGGTTGTCAAGTAGTTCACGAATTTCGGTTATATCAACCTTGGCTCCTTCAATTTTGTCCCGAGAGTGGTTGATATTCCAGCACAGAAACTTAAGGGAGTGGCGGGACCTCGTTGATGTGGGTTTAGTCATTGCTAAACCTGTTGGTGCTGCGTCTTGTTTTATCATTGTCGTGGTAGCTTATTCGGGAGAGTCGCAGGGTCTTTCTCAGACCCTCCCGGAGGCGAAGCCAAAGCATCTTTTGACCTCTCTGCCTTAGCTCGAATCCAGTGTTGAACGAATAAGAATTTTGATCGCCAATTTTATCGTTTGAAAAGGTGAAGATCCTATCTTTGACATCCGGCCTGTGTTTGTGGAGCCAGCTAACATGGTTTCTGGTCTCCTCATTGACGACTTGTATTCTTTCATTGATGCTAGAGTTGTTGGAGGAGGGTATCAGCGCTGAAAAGCATATTTGAGCCTTTGTGGTGTTCAGTAAATGTTCGTAGAGTTCCTTCACATTGCTTACAAGACTTGATTTCTTTTTAAGGAAATCATTGCTCCCTGTGTGAATGTAAATGCACTCAGGTCTTAGTCTTTTTATAGTGTTGTTGAGCTTCTTTGATTTTTTCAGCATATCTGAGTAACTATCTGCTTTAAAACAGTGAACATTAAACTGACTGTTAAAGCGCCTCGGGTCAAACTCGTCAAAGCTCTCATCATGGATGAGAAGAACTGTGTGACGCCTGTAGCTAACCTTAGCTTCAGCGGCAGAGTTTGTTTCACTGGAACCCCGATCGGGGGGGTTAGTATGTTCTATTCTGTTTCCGAGGTCATATTGGCGGCTTCTAGTGTTGAGGTTCTCCCGACTTCGCCTCATTTCGCTAGAGGGTCGATCGCCTCTAGAGCCCCTTTCATTGTGGTTTTTCATGTTCTGCTTGTTTGCCACCGTGAATGGCGTCTTGTTGCTTTGATCAACCCTCTCTGCCCAGGACATCTCTGCTTGCTTGAGCTCGCTTTCACCTGAACGTGCTGTGGCATCGCTGGAGCTGTTACGGTGTACTCTGAATTTCTTGCGTTTGAGTGTTGGCTTGGAGTTCCCTGTGGAAGGACTATTGAGTGCCGCTGGTATATTATTCACTGCGGGTTGTTCAGCAGCGTTTAGAGCTTGTATCGTGTCCTCTAAGTTGATCTCCAGGGTTTCAATTCTGAAACTGTTCGATGCGCTTGTGGTTTCAATTGCCTCGACGATGGGGCGAAGCTCATGTTTAAGTTCTTGGGTTGAGGCATGTGATTGATTGAGTGCAGACTTGGCAATTCCTTTCGTGGCTTTCGTCAAGTTTTCTTGGCCGATCTCGAGGGTCTCGATCCTCTGTTTGTTAGCGGAATTGGCAGATGACAATACTTTCAGAGTCGTACTTTGTATCGTGTTTAGTTCGTCCGAGAACTGAGCTTTGAAGTTGATCAGTCTCTCGAGAATTAAGTTCTGCTCGTCTACTGCTGATCTAAGTTGGTCGAGGTCAGCCCGAATTCCATTAAGCTTGGTCTCTATTGGGCCAACTTTCTTTTTAAAGATGGATGACACACATTTTTCAGATGTGGTTGGGGATGATAGGATGAGGTCAGAGAATGCTTTTTGTTGAAGCATCTCTTCTTTGAGTCCGAGTAGACTGTCTTGAAGTACAGACATCGAATGTTTCAGGTCTGAGCAGTTATTGCAACCGTTCAGGGTCAGGTGATCCTCAGGGTTATCATCACGAGTTGGTTGGTTTCCATCGCTGGCTTCCGTAGTAAGCTCATTGGTGATAATCCTAGCATCATTTGTAACGGAGGCATCAGAGGTTTTTCGGTGAGATTTCTGAGTGTCACCTGAGATGGATAAGCTTTGATCATCGGTGCGTTTCCCTCTCTTTTTCTTTTTGTTGCTCTTCCCCTTTTTCTTTTTCGGAATTTTAGGGCATTGTTGTGCCTGGGGTGTTAAGAAATCAAATTTTGTGTCGGAGCTGCCGGATAACGGTCCACCAGGGGTTATGTAATCGCCCGGGTCGTGTGGACTTGGCTCGCTATCAAAATGTTCCGTATTCTGCGACTGTATGACGTTACTACAAATCGAGTTTCCAGGTGCTTCCTCATTTGGACTATCGAACACTAGCCTAGTAATTTCGCTGCTTACGTGTCGGTTTGTGCAGAACGTAACCAGGTCAGTTTTCCTTTCCCTGGCTGAATTGCTCAGTGGGAGGCTGTTTGCTAGGAGCTCAAATTTGATCACGGTGTCCTCCAGTTTGTTTATAAGGTGTGTGACTAGTTTTGCGGTTTCCTTAGAACCAGTGGTCTCACAGGTTTCGAGAAGGTCACAGAGCTTCTTTTTGTTGGTGGTGACATTGTTGGAGCCTTTCAATCCGAGAGACGATGCTAATGACACCAGTGCGCTCTTTTTGTATGTGTTTGCTGCGTTTTTAAGGAGATCGAGTGTGATGTATCTAAACACGATGGAGGCGCTATTGTCCAGATTAGGTACTCCGAGAACCTTCTCTTTACCCGATGTAATTCTAGCAGGCTTTACGCAGATGTTGGACTGCTCGTTCAAATTGCTTCTTGGGTCGAAGACTGCAACTGGGGAGTTGGTGACACTTGTTTGGTCCTCACTGTGTTTGATGAAACAAGGGTCAGGAGGAGGTGGAACACTGTTTGAGATATGGTGAGCTGTTTCATTGGTAAACGCAGGTAGACTGACGGCTGTTTCTTTAGCTGATGCTGGTGTGGTTACGTCGGCAGCAGGAGGCTCAGTTTCGTCCGGTTGCGATTCCGTTGCTTGAAGAGTTTCTGGTTCATCAATAGCTTCTACTACGTTTTCGACATACGGGATGATCAGGACTTGTTCGTCACCGCCCTCATTTTTCTTTAGCTCAGGAGAGAAATAGCAGTGTAGATGTTTAATGGAATCTGGGTATAGAGTAACGAGGCTAAAGTTACCTAGACTGACATCACAGACTTCGGTGTCTTCTACGGCTGGGTTAAACCTGAGAGGGGTGATACTGAGGTCTCTAGGTTTTCCTATATGTAGAATAACAAGAGGCATATTGTCATCTTTATGAGTGTTCTTCAGAGGCATTCTGGAGGTCCTGTCAAATGAATATATAATTCTGAGCCCGTTGAACAAGGTATTTTTGTTTGTTAAAGCTCCAACGCGGTTGTTTATGGTTGCGAGCAAGGTTTTAAGGGAGTTTTTGTCCTCAGGGTGGCCAGGACTGGGTGTATTTGGCGGTAGACCTGAAGTAAGATCATTGCACAGTGCTTTCACAACACTGGGTCGCCAGAACAATTCGGTGCAGCTTGATTTGGCTTGGCCCGGCGTGATTTCTGGTGAAACTTCACGAAGCGCAACTTTGATTTCTGACTGCACGGAATCAATTGAGATTTCGGAACCTTCAAAAAAAGATCGATCACTCAGTTCAAAGGAATGACCGTCACATTTATGGAGGCCTTGGCCCTGAATCTGATACCTTTCGTACTGTAGTAGCTTCCCATCGGTGTTGATCGCTTTCAGGGATGCTACATCACCTTCCGATATGTGACGTGTTCTATTCTGTATAATATATGTATGTATGTATCACGACAATCTATCGTAAAACAGGGGTTCTAGAAAACCCACTTCCCGATGCTCCTGAAACCTGAAACTTTTTTTGCAGTCGATTTGGTCAACGTCTAGACGCCCTAAAAAATTTCAGATCTCTAACTCAATTTTAACATGGTTTTTAAGGCACCTGAATATGGCGATTTTGGGTTTTTTACCGAATTTCGTATAACAGTGCTGGCGAGTATTTTATGCAAATTTCTTAAAAATCTCAACATAACTATTTTATATTCCTGTCATCTTTGACATCAAATTAGAATGTTTTGAACTAAAAATAAATCTGCTGAACGACTTCCGATGAGTCTTAATGCCTGAAAAACTCGTGCCGGAGGAGGCGGCCTTCGGCCGCCGCCTCCGGCCGGAGTGCACGCTTAGCGTGCACGAAAGAGGCTTCCGACGAGTACCAAAGGGGTTATAGTAGTAAAGGGGGTATAATAGTAAAGGGGGTACAATAGTAAAGGGGGTACATAGTATACCCCCAATAAAGACACCGCTCGTGCTTGCCAGCACTGTGAAATATTACTAAGCATACCAAAATTTGTCGAATCAAATGACTCACGTTTGCACTTGTGTGTGTCTGGTGAGAAGGTGTCACACTGGAAGGAAGTGGCACTGGCACTGTAACCATCCTCACACGAGAGAGTGAGTGTGTAGGTAGGATCCACCTTGTAACCTGTTTCCTGGTTCAGCGAGCCTTGCGGTATCTGAAGTTTTGTAGGTTTTTATTTTGTATTCTGAAACCATATTCGAGGTCCAAGTCAAACCCAGCAAGAAGCCCTTGACTTATAGATTTTTACTTTGTATAGAAGAAAAATTTGTGACTGGTCGAGAGAGAGGTCTATCATTCTTTGAAGATTACAATGGCTTTCCATTTAATGGCACTTATATTATATTGTACATTGGGCCTGTTTCTTTGATTCTTTTGTAAACTCCAGACATAATAACCCTAGTTTATCAAAAAGTATAAAGATTTAAAAAAAAAATTTTTAATAAAAAAAAGTATCAAGATCTAAGCTGTGTTTGATAGCACTAAGCAGTTATTAATAAAACTAATAACGCCTTTAAAAACACGTTGACTATATTATAATGCCCTGTAGTGAAACTCACAAAGCTATAAGTATAAAGGTACCTGTTATTTTAATATAATTTAAGCCTTTAGTTTGCTTATAACAGGGACACTTATCCTCCCTATTTTCGGCCGTTCAAATTTAAAACAATGTTAACTCCAAATAGTTGGTCCGAATTTTAACACATTTGACCTTTTGAAGTTTTTCTGACCGCATTGTAAATAAAATAATAGGTATTGAATAACTTTCATTGTTTGAAGATGCACATGTACGGACGTCGGACATATAATATTTCAACACTTAATGAATTACTTATACTCACTCCATGAAATTTACCCAAATAGTTGCTCCTAATTTAAACACATTTCAAAATAAAATATCAGATACTGAGTACCGTTTAACTGGCATTAATTCGTAAACGTGTACCAACATGTAAGTTTTCAACAATAAATTAATTGCTACTTGGTACTCAATCCAATTATAATATCTTTAACTCAACCCATACAACATAACTTCTACTTGCTACACGATATTGTCGCAGATAATAACTGTTAATCACTTTAATGGCTAATGACTTAATGACGAAATAGCTACACCAAATCCAGTAATCCATATTGTTAGTCTGAGGAGTAGAGAGAGAATGGAAATGAAGGTTTTATTTCGGGATCAAGGAATTTCATAACTTTACTGCTGATTAATTTTTGTCTAGTTTAGTATTATAAACAATGTATCATTTTCTTTAGACTAGTAGTACGATTGGTATGATGAAATTAAGAATTATTTAATCAGTTTAGCCCTGTTGACTTCAATATTGACTCCAACACTGCAATACTTAATCAGAATTATTACCAAGTAAATAAATTTTATTTGTAATTTACAGTTACCTGGTTAGACCGTAAAATAATCTTTGATAAATAAATAGACTGGGCCGTTTTCGCAATAAAAACAATGATCTGGCGACTAAACCTAGAATCAGCTCACGTATAGCATATTAAATAAATAAATACCACAACAATAACTCAATAAATAACTTATAACTTACATCTGGAACGATACAGAGATGATAGCACTGGTGAATGTTAGTAGAACCTGTAGTGTAGGTGGTGTTATCTCCACCACATGGTATGCACTCTATTGCTCCCTCAGCTGCATTGTGTGTTCCTATCTCGCAGGGTAGACATGCTCCTTCTACTGTCTTGAAGCCAGCAGGACAATTTACTAAAGAGGGTGTAATGCCAATGGGGTTTGGGGGTTTAGGGGGGTTTAGGGGGTTTAGGGGGTTTAGGGGGTTTAGGGGGTTTAGGGGGTTTAGGGGGTTTAGGGGGTTTAGAGGGTTAAGGGGGTTTAGGGGGGTTAAGGGGGTTTATGGGGTTTAGGGGGGTTAAGGGGGTTTAGGGGGTTTAGGGGGTTTAGAGGGTTTAGGGGGTTTAGGGGGTTTAGGGGGGTTTAGGGGGGTTTAGGGGGTTTAGGGGGTTTAGAGGGTTTAGGGGGTTTATGGGGGGTTTAGGGGGTTTAGGGGGGTTTAGGGGGGTTAAGGGGGTTTAGGGGGTTTAGGGGGTTTATAGGGTTTAGGGGGTTTAGGGGGGTTTAGGGGGTTTAGGGGGTTAAGGGGGTTTAGGGGGTTAAGGGGGTTTAGGGGGTTAAGGGGGTTTAGGGGGTTTAGGGGGTTAAGGGGGTTTAGGGGGTTTAGGGGGTTTAGGGGGTTTAGGGGGTTTAGGGGGTTTAGGGGGTTTAGGGGGTTTAGGGGGTTTAGGGGGTTTAGGGGGTTTAGGGGGTTTAGGGGGTTTAGGGGGTTTAGGGGGTTTAGGGGGTTTAGGGGGTTTAGGGGGTTTAGGGGGTTTAGGGGGTTTAGGGGGTTTAGGGGGTTAAGGGGGTTTAGGGGGTTTAGGGGGGGTTCAATTTTAGAAAGTTACATTTGATGAGGTGTTTTATATTTAGAGTAGGTTTTTGCAGTTGGTTATATGGGTCATTTTTTGACTGATCACTTTAAAAGATGAGAAAATAAATTAATCACAATTATAAAGACGGCATTTATAAAGACGGTATAACCAAGGTAACAGTTACCAAGGTATAGTAACGGTATAGTAACGGTATATAACGTACCACAGACTCCCTCCTGGATAACCTCTCCCTCTCTGCAGATCACTTCCTCTTCAACCTCCAGAGAATCTCTATCTGCTAACAGGGACACCGCCCTCTTTCTCCGCCTCTTGTTCTCATCAATACTGGAATTATAAGGTTACGATTCAGTTAAAAAATGTATCTTATCCAAATTGTAACGGCTTGGTTTCAATAATTTATCGTGATTAAAAAAAGGGTTAATGACTGGTACTATTTTTTATTTTCGGTAGGAAAAAGTCAAACGTTTAGGACTCCCGCTGTTACTCAGCATAGAATACAGCTAACCTCAGAGTGAATCTGTCTGACTTAACACTATTTTCAATCTTTATCTTAGCTTCTAATAATAGAGCACTCCTTAGCATGCCGTGTTTCTGTACCACTTCAAACGTAAGTGCGATGTTATTCTTATCACCGTTCAACTCACAAATCACTAACTCCACCTGAAATGGAAAATTGATAACTTGGTGATTATTTTTCATCGCCTGTAACGAGACATTTTTATTTTCTCTAAATTGTCGTTCGACTTAACTACGGTACTAGCAAAACTGGGCATTTTGCTCTAGGAACACACTTTTTAGAGATTTTACCGGCGTATCCTCTAAAATCATCTAATTTGTCCAATTTTAGGGAGGGGCGCCAAAAAGGGAGGGGGGCGCTTTTTCAGCGTTTACGCCACTGATAATGCAGTGTAAGAACTTACCTGACACTGTCCATTACGAAGACAGGAAATACTGAGTGTATCCTGGAGAAAGGTCATTAAAGCTGCACTTATTGCTGCTTTCTGAAACAGTTTAATGTTTAATGCTGCTGAGTGCTGTCATTTTCTGGCAGTAAAAATAAAAATATCGTATTTATAACCAGGGTATGATGAAGAAATTGCATTAAATTAAATATTTAACTACTTATGTAGGTTAAGTACATATTATTTTACAATCTGTAAACATCGAACTGTAACAAAAGAGACTTGGATAAAGTTGTATGTTAGCATCAGCTAACCTCGTCGTCGTTCTGACAGTAAACATCTCCGATAGTAACTTTGTTTTTCAACTTCTTGCTTACCGGTGCTATCATTCCTAAAGGAAGAGTAAATGCAGGTGGATCAAAAGAAATTGGTTCCTACTGAATTATTTTATTATTTCCATGAGCCTGTGTTTTTAAAATAACATAACCATCCTTACTTATGCAAGGCCGAAAGAATCCGAGAAGATTTTTTGGGTTCTGGTGTATCCATTTGAACTTATTGTCCTCACAAGTGGTTTCCTGAAATATTTTAAAACATTATGATTTGTGAAAAAACGTAATCTTTTGACTATCTATATAACGGGTGATGAATAAAAAATGGGACTATATGTTTTTTAGCCCTCAGATTCCACCTGAACAAAATTTTGATATTTTACCACAACCACCAGTTACTCTGAACGATACTCGAACAGTTTCCGCCCCCATTTGATCAAATTGGTTGATCTTTGTCCCCGATAATGGTCTCGAACTAGGGGAGGGGTCCTATAAAAGTTTTACAGTAAAGCACTGTTCACAGAAGTCGCCTCACAGGTAATTAAAGCTTCCATACCAAAAATATTTAGCAGAGAGTATGCCGAATTTTATGCTTAAGACGAGGGTTCAACACCCATCAGCGTAGCTAAAACCAGTAAGAAGATATTTGAGCTCAAAACCACCTGAGGGGTAAAATTTTACCGTGTGAAAGATCGAGGCTAGGTCAACTATCGGCTTTAGCATGGTCTATAATGGTACCACGTAAAAATCAAAGTGCTTGGAGCCTTGCCTAGTGTTGTTCCTACAAGAAAATATCCCCAAAGGGTGGAAGGTGGTTCGTTAGGATGGGGCTAGATCGTATTTTTCTATGAAAACCACATCTTTATTTGCCATAGGGTTAATTTCGTCCCAAAAGTGATCGACCAAAGTAAATTTTGACAATCTCAACCCATAGAGGACTTCTTTAGTATCCTGGCAACACATGTACATGCCCGGAATATGGCTAACAAGCATACATGGGCCCTAGGGCACAAAAGAAGAGACTGCGCCAACACGATTTTAGGCCCAACTGTACAGACGAATTTTTGAGCTTGAAGAAAGAAGCCCTCCTGAACCAATCAAAATGGGCTCATGGGCGCTTGTCATTGACCATACTTGTTCAATATTGCCCGCTTTACAACGCTGTTTCATTGGTTTGAACCAAAAATAGTTTTATCGACACTAAAAAGACCCTTGAAAAAAGTCCCATTTTTTAGCCATCACCCGTTATCACATATATCGTAACCATTAAACCTGAAGAATTAACAACCTTGGTCGAGCCAGACCGTGATATTTGTTTTCCGAATCTAAACAAGGAGAACGGGAAGCAGGCTCTTACACTTACTTTAACAGAAGCCGGTAAAGCCAGGAAATTTTCCTCACAGCTCACAGTACACTCCGTCCCTGCCACGTATCTTCCCTCATCTTCCTCCGAGCAAGCTATGTTACCGTTAACGGGGGCACTTAACGGGATACATTGTCCTCCATCTGTTGGGGGAGAAATTGAGGATAACAGCGGGGTTTAGCATCGTAGAAGAATAGGACAGGATTACGTTAGAAGGTTATAAGTTAATGCTATCTTTAGGGAAGGTAGAGAGGGTGAGAATTGTAAAGTTCTTTAGATTTTACCATGTTTAATGCAGATAGGTGCCGTATCCTCCCATCCACCCTCAGCACACTTCCTCGGGTTTGGTCCGATAGGAATGTAGTCTGTGGCACACGTTACTTGTACTTCCTGGAGAGGGCAATCAAATAGCTGATTACAATCTTAATAAATTCCCCCAATGAAATTGACAACTGATATTTACAGTTAAGCCTGAAGCACATACGTCCTCTTTTCCTATGCTATGTTGCACATGCAATTATTTTGTGTCACTGAGAAGAAGTCATTCTTGGACCTTTTACTGAAAATATAATCAGACACTGAATTAATTTGAACACTATTTCAATCTGTGGTGATGTTCCTCTTAATCCTCATCCTTTTTTAATCAAATGACCTAATCAGGAAGCGGGGACTTACATCTTTAGTTATATAGGGATGCTTGATGCTGAGTTTTCCATTCTTCACGATAAACTCGTCGCAATTTGTGTTGATCGCTGAACATTTTAAGGTTCAGACAATAATCATTCAATGTTTATAATTTTAAATTTTGTCCTATAATGCTTGAATTTGTATTAATGTTCGGCAAAACAACAAACTTACCACTTGAAGGTTCAAACCTGTGCACTTTGGAGCTTTGCTGCTAAACTTAGTTCCTTTACACATTATAGAGGGGTTTCCATCTATTACAAAGTTTTCGTTACAAGTATAGTCCACAACGTCTCCCATGACGTAGCTAGTGACCTGTTCTCTGGAAGTATGATAGCTTCCTCCAGGAATATCAACTTCTGCATCCTCGGGATTGCACGTCTCTAAAATAGAATTAGTTTCATGGTTCAAGAGATTTCAGAATTTAACAGTTTTGTTAGTGCAAAAACATTTCGAGATATAATATGCAGTAGTTTATTTCTGCAGCATTGCAAAATTGCAGAATATAACTAATGATAATAACGATTATGCCGTCACGGCTTGGATTAAACTAAATGGAGATCGCACCACAATCATTAGTCCAAGAAAAGTAAATCCATACTAGCTCTTGTTTGACCGAATCAATTAGAATTACCGAATTATCAGGTGATATAGGTACCGTTAGGAGTTGTAATACAATAATACCTTGTCTGTTGAGTGCTACGGGCGAGCCCGGCACGATTACTAAGCCATGGTGTCCACCACTTTTCGGGGAAATAATTCCCGGAAAATATTATAACACCGCTTGTCGGACATTGACTCGGTAACAATTAGTTTGGGGTTCACCCTGATTTTTTGTGTGAAACTTAACTTCGAGACTAACAAACTAGGACCCGTGGATTAAATATATTAAAATCAATGTAATATTTTTCTCAAAAGTCAGCCAAACTTTACATGCGGTCGACACTCGACACCTGGAGTCCCCGGCCCCCTCCAAGGTTCGACCACGGACTCTAGTTTGTTGGTCAACTGCTATCTCGAAATCAAGTTTCACCAAAAAATCAGGGTGAACCCCCTAAATGGTTTTGGCTCATTTTTAAAATACGTTTGTAATGTGTATTCATACAAATCTTAAAACACTATTTGTCGCCCTTCCTCCCCTCCCTCGAACTGGTTCCCCTCCCTCGATCTGGTTCCCCTCCCTCGAACTGGTTCCTCTCCCTCGAACTACGGAACTGGTTCCCCTCCCTCGAACTGGTTCCCCTCCCTCGAACTGGTACTTAAGTTCAACATCGACGTACTAGAAAAAAATGTAAGACCATCATCAATCCACTATTACTAAAAACTACCAACCTTTAACTTGGTAGCCTATCAATGGAAGAACTTGTGTTGGATATTGGGACCTCCAGTTTCCTTTGGGGTAGTATTGACAAAACACGTATGCTCTCCGGAGAGTTGCAGACGTTCTAAACCCACAATTCAGCTGCGTCGTACTCTTCCATATTACCTGTGTGAACTGACTTGCCATGGCCGTGCTCGTGCTCAGCTCAAAGTTCCAGTTTTCTATTTTGTTGTACCAACGTTCAATATTAGAAAGGAGAATTGGACCAGGGTCGGGATCTTCTCCTCTGTAAGACGACCAGGCTGCGTTCTCTCCGAACGCCCTAGGCCAGGGCGACATTTTGAATTCACCAGTCTCTCCAACTTGATCGGCCCATTGCTGAGCTGTGAACTCCTTATCATCATCAGTTATCTCTGCATAACAGAGCGGGGGTGTGTCTTGATGCTTAGCTCGGTACTCGTTATGTTTGTCAAGAACCAACTGTTCCATTTCATTCAGATTAGTCATGCAACCCTTTGTCTTCACTCTGTCTTCCTCTGTAAGATAATATCTGGTCATCATTTTATAAGGAGATTAATAAAATTTGGATATTTCGCAGGATATAAACAATTTATATTTTAACATCGAAATATAATTATCGTGCGAGACTTCCTCACAAATCAGTTTTTCGATAATCTTAGGCTGAAGATTTAGTCAACTGCTCACCATTACCTTCAGAATCCTGTTCTGTGTCATCTTCTGAATCATCTTTTGAATCATCTTCTGAATCATCTTCTGTATCTTCTTCTGAATCATCTTCTGAATAATCTTCTGAATAATCTTCTGTATCTTCTTCTGATTCATCTTCTGAATCATCTTCTGAATCATCTTTCAGATCAGATTCTGAATCATCTTTCAGATCAGATTCTGCAACTTCTGAACAAGTATTTTAGTTTAATTGAAGAGTGGCAGTAGGCTATATCGTACTATCGTATTTTATTGTACAGAGTACACAGTATGCCCCTCTGAAAGTGGTTGGACGGTGTGTAATCGTTTGATTTATTGAATGGGTTGGCTAGAACTTCTACTGTGTACAAGCGAATCATAGAATGGATACGATTCTCACTGCTAGTTAATTCAGAAAACTCAGGAGGTTTACGGCAATGTGCCGGCCCATAACTTTTTAAAATTAACTACCAGTGAAAATCATGTTCATTCTTAGCAAGGGCAAGTATTTAGTTCTAAAACAATACGGTAACCATAATTGAGGCAATAAATCAGTATATACCTTACTCGGGATTATTACGACGGGTTTATTAACGACCGGTTAAAATATGGTTCGGGAAAAATATGGCGAAATTGCTCAAAACCCACCACATTTTCCCGGTCGCCATTTTACCGGTGTCCAACCTTTCAATTTTAGATTCAAAAATTTTGTCTCAGATGTAAATTTCCTTATTAGAGATAAGCAAGTTTAGAAATTTTCGCATTGCTAAAACTTGTGAAACAAGTCGAATTATCAATAATTGTTGAAAGTAGACAGAAATAATGACTGTTTCTTTTACTTTGAGTCCTATTTCATCATGTAGAGATAGTCAATACCTAAGAAATTAAAAATTGGCCTATTTAAATCAACTTTGACAATAAGGATATATGACAAGAATTGGGCAAAAAGGTGAATTTTTTGCAATTTTAGTCAAATGAAGTCGAAAAACCTACAACAAGTGTCCCAATAGTCTTCTTTAGTGAATATAAGACAACGATTAAAATATGAGCACCCATACCCCTTGGGAACCCTAAAAGCTGAGACGGCGGGTTTATTAACGACCGGTGAAAATGTGGTTCGGGAAAAATATGGCGAAATTACCCTAAACCCGCCACTTTATCCCGGTCATAATAATCCCGAGTAAGGTATTTATAAATACTGATTCAATACCTCTATCTATAACATCATCATGACAAGGTGTGGATCATTGCAACTTAGAAGTAAAAGAACTGTATATGAAACTTGTAAGAGACTAATAGCGATTAATTTTAAAATCGATCGAGAATCAATAAATACGTTCTATTAGTATTATATGGATAGAAGGAGTTTCAATAACATACATTGAATGCTACAAAAGATTATTGCATTTACACAAATTGTGTCAATCGATATTGTAGGTGCTTTAAATAAGTTTACTATATACTAATAAATTGCTCACCAAATGTCAAGTTCTCGAGAAGATTATTCAAAATATCTGATTGTGTCTCTGAGGTGACCCCATCTGTAATGTAATATCTTGTTACGTCTTTAAATAAAGGATTTCAACTGCCATGAGTGGTTTAATTAAATAATCAAAAATATTAGGAAACTCTATTTCGGTATCTAAATTATATTATTATACAAGGCATCCGCCATCCAATATTTATGATACAATTACAAATGGAGATCCAGTTGTCCACAACTTACTATCATCTTCTGAATCGTTTTCTAAATTCTGTTCCGAATCCACTTTTGGATCGGACTCTGCACCATCTGGACAAATTTCATTTTAATAATCTGGCCATGGTCTAGGCACTGTCTAAGTATTTTGCTTGAACATTAAAAAGGCGTGGATGATTGAAGCAAAAGAAGTTTCAATAGAAGTACTGTAAGATGAGAGTACTGTAAAATAATAGTACTGTAAAATAAGAGTGCTGTAAGATAAGAGTACTGTAAGATAAAAGTACTGTAAGATAATAGTACTGTAAGATAAGAGTACTGTAAAATAAAAGTACTGTAAGATAGGAGTACTGTAAGATAAGAGTACTGTAAGATAAGAGTGCTGTAAGATAAGAGTACTGTAAGATAAGAGTACTGTAAGATAAGAGTGCTGTAAGATAAGAGTACTGTAAGATAGGAGTACTGTAAGATAAGAGTACTGTAAGATAAGAGTACAGTAAGGTAAAAGTACTGTAAGATAAGAGTACTGTAAGATAAGAGTACTGTAAGATAAGAGTACTGTAAGATAAGAGTACTGTGAGATAAGAGTACTGTAAGATAAGAGTACTGTAAGAAAAGAGTACTGTAAGATAAGAGCACTGTAAGATAAGAGTACTGTAAGATAAGAGTACTGTAAGATAAGAGTACTGTAAGATAAGAGTAGTGTAAGATAAGATTACTGTAAGATAAGAGTACTGTAAGATAAGAGTACTGTAAGATAAGAGTACTGTAAGATAAGAGTACTGTGAGATAAGAGTACTGTAAGATAAGAGCACTGTAAGAAAAGAGTACTGTAAGATAAGAGCACTGTAAGATAAGAGTACTGTAAGATAAGAGTACTGTAAGATAAGAGTACTGTAAGATAAGAGCACTGTAAGATAAGAGTACTGTAAAATAAAAGTACTGTAAGATAAGAGTACTGTAAGATAAGAGTACTGTAAGATAAGAGTACTGTAAGATAAGAGTACTGTAAGATAAGAGTACTGTAAGATAAGAGTACTGTAAGATAAGAGTACTGTAAGATAAGAGTACTGTAAGATAAGAGTACTGTAAGATAAGAGTACTGTAAGATAAGAGTACTGTATGATAAGAGTACTGTAAGATAAGAGTACTGTAAGATAAGAGCACTGTAAGATAAGAGTACTGTAAGATAAGAGTACTGTAAGATAAGAGTACTGTAAGATAAGAGCACTGTAAGATAAGAGTACTGAAAGATAAGAGTACTGTAAGATAAGAGTACTGAAAGATAAGAGTACTGTAAGATAAGAGCACTGTAAGATAAGAGTACTGAAAGATAAGAGTACAGTAAGATAAGAGTACTGTAAGATAAGAGTCAAAAACTTACTATCAGCTTCTGGTTGGCCTTTTGAATCGTCCTCTGAAGAATCCTCTTCAGAATGGTCTTTTAAATTGTCCTCTGGATCGTTCTCTGAATCTTCTACTGGCTTCTCTGTTGGCTCGGAAACTGCACTTTCTGCATAAATACAGCATTTTATGATATCATGATGACCATGAGTTTTTGAAATTTCTTAATAAGTATTAGATAATTAGAAAGTTAGAAGTTCAAGTAAATGTGTCATACTGTTAATAATATTTATATGTACCCAACCCCTTTGGCCAACTTACCTTCACGTACAAAACCCAGCGGTGGGCGAACTTTTGCTGCATATTCAGACTGCCGGCCCCAGTTTCCTTTGGGCCAGTATTGACAAACCACATAGGCTCTACGGAGAGTTTCAGACGTTGAAAATCCGCAATTCAGAAGAGTAGAACTTTGCCAAACAATCTGAGTAAAATGAGTTGTCATCCTGCCCTTGCTCAGTACAAAGTCCCAGTTTCTAATCTCACTGTACCAACGCTCCATGCCAGAAGTGTAAAAAGGTGCTGGATCAGGATCCTCTCCTCTGAAAGACGACCAGGCCATGTTCTCACCGTATACTTTAGGGTTTGGAGTATGTTTAAATTTACCGGTCTCCCCAACATGATCGGCCCATTCCTGAGCCATGAACTCAACATCATCACCAGTAATCTCTGCATAACAGAGCGGGGGTGTGTCTTGGTGCCTAGCTCGGTACTCGTTATGTTTGTCAAGAACCAACTGTTCCATATCACTGAGGTCAGTCTTGCAACCTTTTTGTTTCACTGAGGTGTATTTTCTGTAAAGTATAATATCTTTAAATATTTCGGTTGTGAGGGTTAACAATTATTGTGAGTTGAAAGATGAGTTTTTATTTTTTGCAGAATATAAACAAATTTTGTTTCAACCTTTTTTGTCTCCCTTTTCAGCCTTTTCTTTCTCCTCCTTAAGTTCCTCCTTAGGTTTTTCCTGGTGTTCCTCCTTAGGCTCATCCTTAGCTCTCTCCTTAGATTCTTCTTTAGATCCTGAGAGATTAAAGTTATCGATTTTTTAACTGGATAGGCTATGAACTGTGGTTGGACGATTGAGTTCAATTATGCCAGCAAAATAACTGATAATCCAATAGGTGCTCTGGAAATTTATACTTACCAAAGATCAAGTTCTCTGGGCCTTCAATAAAGTTGTCTGCCTGTTCCTCAGAGGTGTTATCTTCTGTAATGGTAATTTTTTAGGCAATCGTTTGTTCTTTTTGATAATAACATTAACGATATTTTGACATTTTGCAGCATATGAACTTGTTTTGATTTGAAATCAAAGTTCAAATTGTAGGTTTACAACCTACCAGGACGCGCGCCGAGTTGGACTCGTCGACGGTCCTGTGGAACAGATATTTTACGAGTATCACCCGTTAAAGTTCAAACAATGTACAAAACAATGTCCGGATAATTAAATATCTACTTATGAAGATCCGGCTGCAAAAAAGTGGTATAGTAGTTAGCACTTACTTTCTGATTCTGAATCGTTTTCTAAGTCGTTTTCAGAATCATCTCCTAAAAATATTTGATATTTATTATTATGGTAGTACACTGACTATTATGACAGCAATCTGTTAGTTACTTAAAAATAACGGGATGTTAATAATTTGTAAGTAAAAGTCAAGCTAACCTTCAGGTTCAAACCCTATCAATGGGAGAACTTTCACCGGATATTCGGACCCCCAGTTTCCTTTGGGCCAGTATTGACAGATTACGTAAGCTCTACGAAGAGTTTCAGACGTTGAAAATCCGCAGTTCAACTGTGTCGAACTTTTCCAAACAATCTGAGTAAAATGAGTTGTCATCCTCCCCTTGCTCAGTGCAAAGTCCCAGTTTCTTATCTCACTGTACCAACGCTCCATGCCAGAAGTGTAAAAAGGTGCTGGATCAGGATCCTCTCCTCTGAAAGACGACCAGGCCATGTTCTCACCGTATACTTTAGGATTTGGAGTATGTTTAAATTTACCGGTCTCCCCAACATGATCGGCCCATTCCTGAGCCGTGAACTCAACATCATCACCAGTAATCTCTGCATAACAGAGCGGGGGTGTGTCTTGGTGCCTAGCTCGGTACTCGAATTATGTTTGTCAAGAACCAACTGTTCCACATCATTGAGATCAGTCTTGCAAACCCCCTCAGCACCGAGGTAGTATGAAGCACCGAAGAGGAAGTGAAGGAGGACGACTTGCATCCTCATCTTCTAGCTGTGAAAAAGTTATTTTTCAAAACTCGAAAGACAAAATCATTCATAACAGTACATACAAATTAATTAATTCTGAGCCTTATTGGTTAAATTGCACATTGGTGATGAAAATGAGGATGGATCTTGAAATAGCAATTAAAAGGCTCTGGCGAAATAATGATTTGGAAACTTTGAAATAATCTGTGCATAAAAGTTAACTATATGATGCCACCAAGTGATGAAAATGAGAAATTGTAGGTAGAAAATTTATTCTTTTAAATTTCTTTAAATGTAAGTACAAACTTCCAATAAAAGTTAAAGATAACTCGAATGCTAAATGATTTTAGAATTTTTGTAATGCACACGGAGCCCAATACGATATCTTGAACAATCGATCAATACGACTTTTAGCGATTAAGCAAAAGATAACTCAAACTTCAATCTGGTAACGAAGTATCAGAACCTGGCCCAGCCAGAGAGCTTGATAATAAAACACATTTCGCACATGATAATGTCAATTGCTCTGTATATTACGTACTACAGTAGTTATAGTACGTGATACAGAGTACTACTACTACAGAGTACTGTACTGGTAGCACTGCGGTAGTACTGCGGTAACACTTCACAAGTTTGTAGAATGTAGATGTTCCTATTATTGAAAATGTTGGTGAAAGGCAAAGGTGTATATAAGGTATCTAGTCAATGGCAGGTATAATGTGGAAAACGTGGAAAACGTGGAATTCTATGTTTGAAACGAGACAGTGATCATGGGTATGATTACGGATTACCCATTATAGGTAAAAACTCTTTACATACCGCGGTACTTAAGCTTATTTCATTGAATTACACACAGATAGCCTGGTAAGATCCGTTCAGACTTCAGATATGTTCCGGTATAAAGCTTACCTACTATATTTGTATAACTGACATTTTCCCAACTACAAACTGGCCGACAAAGTGTTTTCCTAATCCTCATAGATTAAAATAAAATAAATTTATTTGTCTTCCAGTCAATATTACCATAATATATTTATTTTATATTTATGCTTAAAATTTACTTTGGCCGACATGAAAGTGTTTTCCCAATCCTCATAGATTAAAATAAAATAAATTTATTTGTCTTCCAGTCAATATTACCATATATTTATTTTATATTTATGCTCATGCTTAAAATTTACCTTAAAAGTTTAAATAAAATAGTATGGTAGTTATAATTTGATATTGGACCCGAAAAACTGGTACCGTACTATAAGTTATATTAATTTTAAAATTGTACAGTATTCCCTCTCTGTAAGTGTAACACTAAAACGGTTTATGGGATGAAAGAAGATTTGGTGTACACCAGCGGGGGACCGCGTTATAACGTGGGACGCTTATTTTCGTACACAAAATACGTTCTGACGTGCGCCATACACATGAGATCATATAAACGAAATGAACGAGATTGCAAACGCAATTAGATGTGATTTCGTTCCAACTGATAAAGATAAGAAATAAAAATGTTTACTACAAATAAAAGGCGATGAGCTAGGAGGGATTAATGATGCACACCGCCGCGTTTTGCCAAAATCGGCGGCGGTGAGGCCAAAAATTTGATTTTACCGTTGGAAGATATTTCACAATTCTCAAAATACAGTGTTCACGCGGCGTGCACCACTGGGAGGGATATTGTACAGGACAAGTGATTAATAAAATGTGGAGCAGAAAATATTTTAAACTAATCACGGCAACTAATGAGGCAGCTTAGGAGTTCTAATTCTCCTCTCGTTCTAAGTATAAAAATGGTGCATCTCTTGTCTCATATGTAATAATAAAACATATTTACAGAAGTAAAATGACTTATGCAATATATCGCGATCGTTAATTGTATTAAAGTCATGTTTGCAGTGCATATCCCAACCAAAAAGATGATTGAACACTAGCATGTGTGATGATTAATTTTATTAATTTTGGTCCTCTCAATTACTCTTTGATTCATGTTTACCCACCGTGAAATTGGCGAAATGCTCCACTATATAAGATTACAATAGAAATATGAGATTATGATAATTTGCTAGTAAACTAGTTACGTCTGCAGGAACCTACAAATCGTAGCAGTCGGTATGCGGAATAGTAATGTAGTCGAGATATTTCATATCATTTGAACTAACCCTTCGCCTTTAATACGAGTCCAGTATACTTCTTTACTTCGGTAAAATATGATATTTATCTGCTGACAGGATCCGAAGTAATAATTACAATTGTGCCAGCGACGGTTCAGAAAATGAATTCCATACTTTTTTGTTCGAGGCTTCGCTGCAATGGACAGCTCCTCATTTCACCTTCAATTTCGGTTTCCCGATCGTTCGGGTAAGTAAATCGAGGAGAAGTTCAGAAGTTGTAAAAGGAGTTTAATGATGTAAAGATCCAACAGAATCCTAACCTCATTTTCTAAATTATAAGCGACGCCGGGATTCGAACCTCCTACTCTCGGATTGAAAGTAGGATAGCTAACCTTTAAGTTTAACCACTCGGCTATATATAAACATCAATATCTTAATATTTAATTAAAATTGTCTACGTCGTGGACTTAACCCGGCGGTGGCACAAAAAAACTCGGCGTCGGTGGTGCATCGTTTAAAACTAGTGCTGTTCGACTTTACAATATATATTATGTGGCGCTTATAAGTCGATACAATTACATGTACTATAGGTAGACAGCTCTTTCACTGTCCACCTCTTGCAGCAAACTCAGAAAGGGGAAAAGTTAAAAACGAATTGTTCAGTCCGGAATTTGCAGCAGTAAAGAATTTACAGTATTTAAAGGAAATAGTTAAAGTTAAACTTGGAAGACAGTTTTAAACAGCCGTGGTAAATGCTATACAGCTTAAGTTCTTAAACTGCAGAAACTGAACCATTGAAACAATATAAGTCACGTACCTTAAATTTAATTCCCAAACATTTGATTGTAGGTTTATAACCTACCAGTACCGGGACGCGCGCCGAGTTGGACTCGTCGACGGTCCTGATAATTGGAACAAATATTTTACGAGTATCACCCGTTAAACATTTGATGAACGAAAACTTTGGGCGGTCCTCTCGGCAAATTTATTGAGCACAAAGTTCTAGCACAGGTACCAATCTATGGGAACTAAGTTATACTCAACTACGCTAGACTAACTACCTAGTCTCTAATTGCCACCACCCTTCTCTACAGCTGAAGTAAATAGAACTCCGTCTTGCACTATGCAATTCCTAACAATATGTATAACTATAATAATGTTCTGAGGAAATATAAAAAAGTAATAAGAGAAAATCTTACTTGCATGAAATTTCAGGACTAACAGAGAATAATTAATGCCGTTTTTATCAAGTTTTTTAATAAGTTTAATAATACGTTTATGTCGTCTGCAAAAACCCAGGATCACGACCATTATTATATTATCATATTAATATCATGGTATCAATGGTTTGTTATCATCATATTTAAGTCTCGAATCTGACCATAATGTATGAGTTATAATATATACTGAAAATAATATTGCAATAGCTATAAAAAAACGTAATAACACTTCAAAGAAACATTAAAGAACAAAAAATGTAGTTTAAACTTAAAAAGAATAGTTTAAGTTTTACTTTTAAGGAGGGAACCCCAAGTATTTTTTTCTCGTTTTAATAATATTTAATAATATTTCCTTGGATATAATATTAATTTCCTATAAATTGATGGGCCCTGTCATATACTATTATAAATAAAGTCAGTATCTCCCGGCGGCGATAGTCACACGCGTTTCTCAAACTTTTGTTAAAACGTGTCAATTTTGTCAAAACTGTTTCTCAAACTTTTGTTAAAACGTGCCCCTACCGTTACTCTGGTTGACATTTTATAATTACGATAAAACACGTCGTGAAAAATCATGAAAGCCACGGCCCTCATAGTTATGAACAAAAAATATGGTTAAATTGCTCAAATCAGGGCCGTTGAATTGACAATTTATAAAAGTTTCAATTTAGCTGCAATCGAAACTGCAGCAGTTTGAATGCGAAGTCTCAAGTTATGTTATTACAATTAATAACATAAACCGACTTGGGTCAAAGAAACGGCGCATACCAGAGTTATGATCTTGGTTACTATGCGAAGACTTAATCAACTATAAGCAAAGCTATAAAAATAGAGTAAAAGTACATTAAAATACTACCTTACTCGGGATTATTACGACGGGTTTATTAACGACCGGTTAAAATATGGTTCGGGAAAAATATGGCGAAATTGCTCAAAACCCACCACATTTTCCCGGTCGCCATTTTACCGGTGTCCAACCTTTCAATTTTAGATTCAAAAATTTTGTCTCAGATGTAAATTTCCTTATTAGAGATAAGCAAGTTTAGAAATTTTCGCATTGCTAAAACTTGTGAAACAAGTCGAATTATCAATAATTGTTGAAAGTAGACAGAAATAATGACTGTTTCTTTTACTTTGAGTCCTATTTCATCATGTAGAGATAGTCAATACCTAAGAAATTAAAAATTGGCCTATTTAAATCAACTTTGACAATAAGGATATATGACAAGAATTGGGCAAAAAGGTGAATTTTTTGCAATTTTAGTCAAATGAAGTCGAAAAACCTACAACAAGTGTCCCAATAGTCTTCTTTAGTGAATATAAGACAACGATTAAAATATGAGCACCCATACCCCTTGGGAACCCTAAAAGCTGAGACGGCGGGTTTATTAACGACCGGTGAAAATGTGGTTCGGGAAAAATATGGCGAAATTACCCTAAACCCGCCACTTTATCCCGGTCATAATAATCCCGAGTAAGGTATACTGATATAAAGCCAGGGCGTGATTCATTTACTAGATAGGATGCAATTCCCTCTCGGTCTGCAATATAGATCTGGATCAACTCCGCTGTGGATCTGCAATATAATATATATCCGGTATTTTAATTTTCTACCACTCTCTTTTCTTCAGACCAGGATACCGATAAGAAGTGCGTTGCATACTGACAAAAAATCAATAACACCAGCGTCACCAAAGTCGACAGAGACAGATTATAATAGATTTAGTATATAATCCATTAATTTCGATCGAATTACTGGCAAGTTTCCATAAACGATATTTTATGATCGTCGCCGATAATCGCTTATTGAGCGCTTTTTCGGCGCTTTTTTTTTTTAAAACCGTTTACAATCGCTTTTTTTACGATTATAAACGGTTCAAAAAAAATCGCTTATAATCGACTATAATTGGTGTCATAATTCAAAAAAGCGCTTTTTTGAATTTAAAAGCGCTTATAAGCGCTTTTAAGCGCTTACTAGCGTCGCTGAGCGATTTGAAAGCGGTTTTCCAGTAGGATTGGCGCCAAAAACGGGTGGATAAGCGGTTGGCCGGATAAGCGATTCGTAGGCGCTTTTTTGAACCATTTATAAGCGATTATAAGCGCTTATAATTGGGGTGCAATTTAGCTGTTTGTAAAGCGTAAATAAAGCGCTTATAAGCGCTTTTAAAATTGAGTCAGGAAAACGCTATATTACATCTTATAACCGCTTATAATCGATTATAAGCGTTTTTTTAGAAATCGCTTATTACGGCTAATTCATCGCTATTTCACCGCTTTTACCGCTTTTCCTATCATCCATGGCCAGGTGAGCAGGAATTAAAAAGCGCTTATAAGCGCTTTTTCGATGCTGCCCCTAGCCTGGTCGGAACAGGGTAGTGCCCGGAATTTAAAAGCGCTTATAAGCGATTTCTCAATTCCCCTTAACCTGGTTGGAACTTTCATGTGCTTTTCTGAGCAACCTGGGGTGCACCGGCAGAGTCAGGATTTAAAAGCGCATATAGGCGCTTATGATCGCTTTTCTACCACTTTTCCTATCACCCATGGCATGGGTTGGCAAGAATTATAAAGCGCTTATAAGCGTTTTTCAATGCTGCCCCTTAGCTGGTCGGAACGGGGGAGTGCCCGGAATTTAAAAGCGCTTATAAGCGCTTTTAAATTCAAAAAAGCGCTTTTTTGAATTATGACACCAATTATAGTCGATTATAAGCGATTTTTTTTGAACCGTTTATAATCGTAAAAAAAGCGATTGTAAACGGTTTTTTAAAAAAAAAGCGCCGAAAAAGCGCTCAATAAGCGATTATCGGCGACGATCATAAAATATCGTTTATGGAAACTTGCCGAATTACTGGCATTACATATAGGTAATATATACGTTACTATACGTTACTGATTATCCTTCTATAACTGTGCCAACAATGTTTTTATTTATTTCTCTTATCACCCTGATTATGTACGATAAGCGAAAAGACATGAGTGCAATTGACACTTTTATTTGTATCTTACGGCTTAGAAGAAATGAACCCGAATTCTCAAATTGCGAGTAGACTGTAGTATAGAGTTAGTAGTATAGAGCTCTTTATCATGAGCAGTAGACAACGTTCGTGTTTTACGATAATGCCGTTTGACTACAATTATCATAATATCACGTCCGCTTTGTTACTAAGTTGTCAAGCTAACTTAATTACAATATAAATTATATCTAACTAATAATCCCAGAATGTGTGTTTTCTGTCTGTCTGTCTGTCTGTCTGTCTGTTTGTAATTTCCGAGCGGCTTAATCAAGAAAACGGTAAGAGTTGCGGGACTGATTTTTTCGGTAAAGTGCCGACAAAACTCTGACGAAGTTAAATGATAAAGGTTTTTTAAATCGGTCGTTGGTAAGTGGTTTAATTGATGATTTTGTACCACAAATGTTACATAAAATGGCTTGAGCACAACGGTAAGAGTTACGGGGCTCGCATATGTAGCTGCATAATTAGTGTAATTGAGTTACCCGTGCAAGATTCGCTGTCTATACTATAATCTTATTAGGGGAGGGGGCACTGTTTGGACTGCAGAGAGAGAGTTCATACTTTCATACGACAATGTTATGCGTGTTCACAAATATGATAGGCGGGTGTGGTGTTAAGGGTTAATTTCTATTGATTATTGTTTAAGATACTATTACTATTGTTTAAGATACCATCGGATGACGGATACGTGAGGGCACTCCGAATAGAATTGCTCACCTAATGCGGGTTTTGACTCAACGGGTAAATTATCCTACCCTTTTTAACTGCGGCAGTGAAATCCCGGCCGAAGGCCGGGTTACACTAGTAATATAATATTACTAATAATGCATCAGCTACATATTCGAACAGTGGTCAAAACAACCTCGGTAATACTTTTCTTTCTTTATATAGTATGCGTGATGTTTTTCTCGAAAAGACGTCACTGTAGGTGATGTTCAATATCTGGTCAATCCTGCTCTTTGGACTATGTTCACGTAGGTTGACGTAGGGCGAGAAACAGTTTTTAGGCTGGTCAGGAATGTACTACGTACTGGCCCAGGAATGTACGTACTAAGAGGGCTTTACAGCTCCGTCAAAATGCAAGGTTCCCCAAAAATCAATTTACAAACGTTCCACTTTGGAAGTGGAACAAGATGGCGTTAAAATCATGGAAATCTATAATAAATTAAAAAGTGCTAGACCATTAAATGTTTTAAATGTTCTATCGATATAACCTGTGAAAGAAAGTACCTATTTCTTTTAAGGGGGCCGGGGAAGGGTATTTTTTTGTGAAACTTTATTTCGAGATATCAGTTGACCAACAAACTAGGACCAGTGACCGAACTTTTGAGGGGGTCCCGGACCCCAACCGCCAAACGGTGCCCGCGGTCCGGGGGAGCCAAGCCCATATTTGGTCCAAATTAGCAAAATATCCTGAACATGCCCAAAACCCAGGTTTAAGGTAGCGGCCAGGTAGCGTAGTCGGTTAATTGCATCGGCTTTGTAATCGTGAGGTTGCGAGTTCGAATCCCACTGCCTGCCTAGTCGTGGGGTGAGCGTCGTTGACGCTCTGCTAAGGATCCCGAGTGGTCTATGTAGCCCAACGGTTCACTCAGCCGAATGCTCGAGAAATCGGGTGTGAGGGTTAAATGAGGAGCTGTGCTTGATCAACACAGCGAAGCCTCGGGCGAAGAAAGTGTGGCATAGTGCCTTAACCGTCGCTGGCCTTAGGAACGATCCTTCGGCTTCTTGTAAAGCTCTTCCTTGAAAGTGCTGGTTTACATTGTAATGCAGGTAATGCCGAAGTAAAATAACAAAGGTGGTCGACTCATTCGATGGCCTTGTTGCGTCGCAACGAATCCTCGTAAGATAAGATAAGATAAGATAAGATAACTTGTAGCTAGTGGTCTCCTTAAATCGTATATGAAATTTAATCAAGATTAGACAAAAATGACTGAGTTATGAGCCAAAAACCATATGCCCATATTTGGGCATACGCATCAAATTTGGTAGATTTCGTCCCATAAATTGGTCAAATATTAATATTTTTGAATGAGACTTACTTTATATGAAAGGTAAGACTAAGTGTGAACTACATATTCTCTGTAAGTAATAGCTTTATATCTGTTTAAATGTGGATTTTAAGGCGAAAATACCCCAAAAAATGAACAAAATTGCCCGTATCTTCGTTCGCGATATATTATATATATAACGCTATAAGTATAAGTAAGACAAAATATTGAGAATAAATGAAATTCAAATCATAATTACAGAGCGCTAAAAGAAAATAGAAACACTTTCATCAAACACGTTTAACGTAAACATGTATAACGGAAATCTTTAATAAATAAATTCTACACGAATAAATTTATCTTAAATAATTAAATTCTACACGAATAAATTTATCTTAGATAAATAAATTCTACACTAATAAATTTATATCAAATAAATTAATCAGTCATACTCATCATCACTGCAGACGTTGCAACCATATTCAAAAGAATCCATCACAAATCACAATCAATATCACATTAACCTTAAGAATAATAAGATTCATGGATCTGATTTCTATGAAATGGTGACTCAAATTTTTAATGAATATCCTTAAATAGTGTAAATAAGACTACACGTCCGGGATTTTAAAACAAAAACTACCCCTTGACTCCATAATTCCTACTATACCATTATCACATACTTTCTTGGAGCCAACAAGTTTAATCCAACCAAATATAAATATCATATAAGTTATAATTGTATATCATAGCATGATATTCTTAAATGTAACGTTTTTCTCTAGAGTTTGGTTTTTCTGCAAGTTAAACAAGATCCGTTCCCGAACGAGGAGAGACTGGAGTAACATCTCCTGTCCTCGTCCTCTTCGCCGTCTAGTAATCTGTACGGCAGTTCTTCTGATCGTGCTAACTCTGTCAAAACATCAAATTTTAATTATAGGCTGAATTACCTGGTAAACTTAGCTACGGGATTTTATACACTCAACTGCATTTTTTTAATCGTTATTAAATAAAAATCTCCCAACGACGTCATTGAAAATTGGGAAATACAAAGATTAAGTATAGTAGGGTATTTATGTAACCCTTGTGCCTTAACCGTGCCTTAACCGTGCCTTAACTGTGCTTTAACCGTGCCTTAACCGTGCGTTAACCGTGCTTTGCCACATTACTGAATTGCCGCCAAATCACCATATTCCCATAATTATCATATCACATGTGCTGGCTAGCAAGCCAAACGATCAGTAATTAATTATAATCCCCTAATTAGCTAATTACATGAATAGTTAACCTGTAATTACCAGATGGGCTGCTGTGAGATCGGCAAGAGTCGGCGGACTTACACCTCCTACGATCTGGGTACCGCTCTGAGTCTACACACAGACAATCTACTTCTAGTTTCCTGTGGTCACAAATTATTCAATGAAATTTACTGCTGTTGAAGTTGAAGAACATAAAAACATTAATATAGATATCCTGGATCATCTGTGTGTCATTCTTATTGCTCATTCTCGTGTGAGTGAGGACATCTTCTCTGACAAAAAAACATGAAAAAGGAAATTAAATTAGTAACTTGATATTATGGAACCTTAATAAATAATACTACCATTTGTAGTTTTATAATTTATATCAAGCAAAAAGAGAAAATATTTGAGTGCATTTTGAGTTTTTTCTTTTTTAAAAATTTTAATTAATATTATTTGTCATATTTCTGACGAATGTATGAGTTAAATCTACCTGATATTTGGTGCAGCACACTTCTAATTATATTGAAATAATACGATTTATAATTATATTATCTAATCCAAGTGAGACATTTTCATTTGGAATATAATATCTTAAGATCTTAAAATAAATTTAACTTTGGAATATACTATACTATCTTAAATTTATTATTTAACTTGCCTTTGGAATATACTATACTATCTTAAATTTTACTTACCTTTGGAATATACTATACTGTCTTAAATTGAACTTACCTTTGGAATATACAAATTAGTTATCTTAAATTTAACTTACCTTTGGAATATAATATAATATGTTAAATTTAACTTACCTTTGGAATATAATATAATATGTTAAATTTAACTTACCTTTGGAATATACTATACTATCTTAAATTTAACTTACCTTTGCAATATACTTTAATATGTTAAATTTAACTTACCTTTGGAATATACTATACTTTCTTAAATTTAACTTACCTTTGGAATATACTATACTATCTTAAATTTAACTTACCTTTGTAATATACTATACTATCTTAATTTAACTTACCTTTGGAATGTACTATACTATCTTAAATTTAACTTACCTTTGGAATATACTTTAATATGTTAAATTTAACTTACCTTTGGAATATACTATACTTTCTTAAATTTAACTTACCTTTGGAATATACTATACTATCTTAAATTTAACTTACCTTTGTAATATACTATACTATCTTAATTTAACTTACCTTTGGAATGTACTATACTATCTTAAATTTAACTTACCTTTGGAATATACTATACTATTTTAAATTTAACTTACCTTTGGAATGTACTATACTATCTTAAATTTAACTTACCTTTGCTGATCACCGCACTCTACCACTATCTTAGGAATGGGGATGATAATGTAGTCCTCGTTGGAAGATTCCGACTTTTCAGAGTCTCTTCTGACTTGTTGTAGAATGCTGAATAAAAAACTTATATATATAAAGTCACAAAATGTTTCTGAGTTTCAAGGTTCCAGCCCAACAAACCCGTGTGGGTATAAGCAAATACATCTTTTACATTAACAAAATAACAAAATCAAAAATCAAAAATAAAAGATACAACTAACCTCTCCAAACTCTCACATGACCCTGTCATCTGAGCTAGGTACAACTTGCACTCGCTCTCTGAGTTAAATGATACCATCTGAAACGAGGAGTGAATATTTAAGGGGAATTATTACAACTAATAACTATGTGTACAGTTGGAGATTTGACTAAAAAGTAGTATAGTAGTATGTCTGCTACACTATCAATAATACAGTTGTTTAAACATTACATATTCTCCAGATACTATCTACTAAGAAACCACCACTAAGCTATCAGGAGGTTTTCTGAAATATTTAAACAGATCCGACCCTAAGTAAACAAAACTAACCTCTTCTGCAGGTCTTCTGTTAATGTAAGCTACTATGTTTCTGTTGCTATGGAGACGGCCCCTATCAAATGTTAGTTCTCTTTTGTCTATCTCGATACCACCTTCTCTGAGAGATAAGATAAGTCACATGTATTGTTAGTTGTTAGTTGTTACTAGTGCAACTTTGAAACGCATAGTAGTTCTTGGATAGGCAGATTACAAAATGTTTTGGCCTTATAGTCAAATTACAGGAAACTTATTTTAACATAGAGATAAGGTTGAATAAAAGGAAACGGAGCTCATTTCAAGGAAATTTGAAATAAGTAGAAAGAGCTGAATCGATAAAATGGTTAATTAGAAGCGGATAATTATTTGGTGTAATACAGTATCTGCTGGAGATGAATCGTATCCTCGTTTTCTTCTCCTTCCTCCACGCTTCTACGAGCTTCCTTATCAGGCACTAAAGACCGCATAAGATGGGAGCTGCTCTGTATTAGCTTCCTGACCTGATATCAGGAGATTTCATTAGTTTGACCTATTCTCAAACACAAGGAAATAACTTATATGCTAAGTTAAGGACAGAACTAAAAACGACACTACTAGTGAATTAACCGACCTCTGTAAAATCGCTGACATCATCTTCCTCTCCCGTCACGTGGTCACTGGTCACGTGGACACTGCTGAACAATACCTCACACAACAGCTGCTGTGTGGACTGGATTGCTACCTGGGGATTAGTCACTGTGAGCTCATCTGTCATTAGTTATTGATATGTTTAATTCTGTTCAGTCTGCTGGAGTTATGACGAGACTTAATAGTTATTCAGCTGAATAAGAAATAAAAACGTTGCAATTTACCCTGACCAAACTGCTGCGATATAGAATGACTTCACCGTTCAACTTAAATATGAAAATTATCCTAAAAACTAAACGAGTCGGACATAGGGTTTAAGAGACAGGAACGCACGAACATAACACGATATTAAGTTTTGATGCTCAGTTAATTTTCGTAGAACTTACCCCGGTCGAGCTGAGAATAACAAGTTGCAGCATAGTTTCACTAAACGGAGATATCATCGCAAGCACGAATTTTATTGTCTCCAAGATTAAATCAATCACGTGTACTCCCTGGAGATATTAACTTAACATATTAATTTTATAAAATAAACATTTAAGATGCTGAGTAGTTTGATCGTTTTTTGGTATAGACACCAAAAAAAATCGACCAATAAATGTAAAAAATATGTCAACAATGTAATGTTAAGCTCAAGAATAATCATCTTCTAAAACTATAATAGACTTTTCGTATCACTTGTTTTAAACAATCTCCCTCCAGCTATAAAAGATATGCGAAAAACAAGATTTGCAACTGAAAATAAAACACAAAATATGCGGAATTATTATTGGAATTTAAAGAAATTCCAATAAAAATCTGCGAATACCAACATACATGAGTTGTTCTGAGTGGAGACTTGGCCACCTCGCAGTCTATTCTAATCAGAACAGACGGTATTGACAAAAGTTTGGAAACACATAGTAAGCGTAATATAGTCTCGTCTTGTAGTGGCCAATACTTCGTCCTGGGAATCAGAATGTTAGTTAAGCTCGGATTGAAGCTTTTCTGCAGTTTCCTTGACCGAAATGTTACAGTTTTGACTTTTTGAGCGGTGAACAAACAATGAGGTCAGTGTGAGTGACACATGTCACCATCGAGGTACTGTATGCTGCATGACCATCTAGCAAGGTCACTGAGGATGGCACAAGACACCATTGAGGTACTCCAAGTTCTATTCCCAAAGAAAGCTTTGATAAACAGAAAATCATCGGAATATAAAAAGAGATTTTGGAAAGTTTTTTATAAGGGGCTTTTCTGCCGTCTCCTTGACCGAAATTTCGCGGTTTTTACTGGAATTTTGACCAGTGACCAATCAGTGAGGTCGGTGATAGTGATACAAGTCGCCATCAAGGTACTGGAAGCAGTATATCGGGAGAAAACTTTGATGCAATGAAAATTTTGAATATGTCCAACCGGTAGGACATATTTTTTAAATATTGTTAGGATCTCCAGGAAATGTTTATTTAACTTAATAGTACATTGTTTTCTTAACGCTAACATAATTTAATTGTTTAGCTTTTAAACTTTTACTTACTTGCTTGTCATTAATTCACAGTTGATGAACAGGAGTGGTGCGATAACACTTGAAACAGTTAGTATCATCATTGTTGCGATTTTCTTCCATAATTTTATCTAAAAATAGTCATTGTATTCGAATTCATGGATAGTGTTACAATTCATGCTGATCATATAACAGCAAAATAGAATAAACTATCGAAGATCATAAATTCAAAATGGGTACACGGCAGAATTTAACATCGAGAAGAATAGTTATACTCACAGGGAAAGCTTTTGAGATTTGGTCTACGACCCGAAGGGATGCAGTGAAGAAACCTATGCTGAGAACTAGTAAAACTGCTGCAACCACATGACCACCCCTCATATCGTCTTCTGCAAAAGATAACACCGGATTATCAAAGTAACTAAACAGTACTTTAACAGCACCTAAAGCATTTAAAACTTATCTCACTGTCTTTCAAAACATTCAAATATTGACTCTAACACTTCAACAATATCAAATATATTAGAACTTTAGTAAAAGCAGCAGCTTACCTAGTAGGGTAAAAGAGGCAAGAAACACCATGTCGGTTAACAGAGAAGCCATGGTGAGGAAGTTTCTATCCGTAACAACCAGCATGTGTAGAGCTATTCCCATCAAACAACAGTAACTCAGCAGGATGGAGAGAGCGATCGGGATGATAATCAGATGTAGCTCTGATCCCTATAAAATGTGGTCTTAATTAATTAATTAATTAATTATTGTTTACGTGATTGAGATTTAATAGCTGCCGATATTTTATGACAACTAGACTAATTGTTTAAAAGATAGAATTCAGACACTGTAAGATAAAATCTGTGAACTCACAAAAACACGACGACCATGATGCCTGATAGCATCAAACTGTGAAACCAAAAGTTGCTGTAACCGCTCAAGTTCTGCTAAATTCCCTGTTGAGATCCATTCTCTGGTCGCTCTTGCAATATCACAACCTGGTAAAGATTGGGCGTGTGGAAAGTAAATAGAATATTCCAGATGTTATTCCGCTCGCAAAAGAATCCACACATAAAATAAAACATTTAAAAGTACACACCTCTCATAGTTTTCTTAGAAACATCTCCTTCATCGGCTTTGATGGAGACTTCGTCACATTCAGCTGATCTCTGAACCAGAACCTTATCGACTGTATCACTCAGAAATATTTTATCAGATTCCTCAACATGTTCATCCTTATCACTTTCAACTGTTTCTAGTACGATAGCCGCATTTTCCAGTTTAATCTCAAGTTCTACACTTGATTCTCCTAAGACTTCTGGACCATCTGATGCCTTTTGTTCCAAATTTTCTATGGAATTTTCTTCAGCATAAACTAACTTTTCAATCTTGGCATCCTTTTCTTCTGCAACTTCCGCAGAGTCTGAATCATTAGATGTCACCTCTTTTACAGCTACCTGCACATCTTCTTCTGTAGAGTCAAGACCATCTTCTGATACATCTTCAAATATTTGTGCAATGTTTTCTTCTGCAATATCTTCTGTAGGAGCATCTGCTATCACTGATCCTTCGATCATATTTTCATAATCTTCCGCAACCTCTGTTGAGAAGGAATCATCAGATCCAACTTCTATGTCCTTTTCTTCTTCGACCTCTCTGTAGACGGTCTCGCTCGATGGTATAACCACAGCGTCATTTTTGAAGTCTTCATTCACCGGGATGTAAGGGTCAAATATTTTATTATTTTCGCTGATTTCCTCAGTGATCTTTTGCAAGATAGGATGATCGGAGCTCCTTGTAGGTGGTGAATGTTGTGGAGTGGATGGCAACGGATGATTCTCAAGAACACGATCTTTTTCAGTTGAATCTATTTCGCTTAACTCCTTGCTCTCTTCTTTTACTACATCGGCCATTGAATTCAAGTTGTTTTCGGGTAGATAATTTTGTTCATCAGTAGTATCATCAATTTCGTCTTTCACTGGCAAAGTTTCTTTTTCATTTCCGTTTTCGTCCATCGTAGATTTAAGATATTCTGCTGTCTTCACTACCACTGAAGAAGACATTTCGTCCAGCTCAACCTCTGGTTCGTCTTCTGAGACCAAACTTTCATTAGATTCACCACTTTGGTCCTCCTCCAAGTTTACTTCAACTTCTGTTTCTTCTCTGGTTTCGCCAGTAATCTCTTCATGTACCGTAGCGTCATATACTGTAGAATCAGATTCGGAGGTTGGTAATTCCATCTCCAAGACATCAACATCATCCTTCAAAGCGTCTTCTTTTTCCTTCAATTCGTCTTCTTTTTCCTCCAGAGTCGCGTCCTTTTGATGATCCCCAATCTCCTCATCATTATCATGGTTCACAACCGTTATCTCGTCTTCCAACCCCGATTCAGAGCTATCAACTATCTCAGCTTGTGACTCCTCTGTAAATTCCTCCTTCACCCTCGTGCCCTCTGCTCCTCCCATCTCCTCCTCCCATCTCCTCCTCAACTTATCAAAAGTAGGTAAATAGCCGCTAAAAAAAAAGCCATCCTCATCATGATGCTCCTGCTGCTCGGTGATAAGTTGGTCCTGTTGAATAGACTCCGATTGGCACCTGAGGAACTTGGGATTACGGTTTGAGAGAGAATGTATCAGCAAAGACCACCCCAACAGCCATACAGTAGCGTAACGTTGCCTGTTGGGGCCCCCCCCCCCCCCCCCCCGGTGAAAATGCGCCCCCTTATTGGCGCCCCTCCCCCTTTTGGCGCACCTCCCTAAAATTGAATAAATTAGATGATTTTAGAGGATAAGCCGGTAAAATCTCTAAAAAAGTGTGTTTCTAGAGCAAAACGCGCAGTTTTGCTAGTACCTTAGTTAAGTTTTTCCAAATTGTCCCACATTCAAACAACGATATGGCGCCCCCTAAGGCCCCCCCCCCCCGCACAGCGGGGTCGGCGGGGCCCTTAGCTTCGTTACGCCATATCAAGCAAGAAATAGAGCTTAACCAGCGGGATTGCAAAGCAAGAATAATGGAACTGAAAAGAAGGAAACCAGCAGTTCAAACTTAAAAACAGAGTTTTATTCTCATCAAATTTGTCAAATCCACCAAAAAGTCTCGCAGTACCTGTCAAGAGCGCAAACAAGAGGGGAGTCTCTGGAAGCTTTACCCAGTATTCCACACTGGTGGAGATCAGAGATCAGCTCTTGTTCACTGCAAGGTAGACACTCTCTGCTTCCGTTACGAGGTTGGTAAGTGAACTCTGGGCATTGGACACAGTCCCACCCTCCTGGTACCGGCTGTTCGGATGATAATATCAGTTTTATAGTGGTGCTTCTTACGTAGAGTTTACTAATCTTGGCGAACAAACAGTTCAAAAACCAATATTCTTATGGTCTGATTGACTAAGAATCATCGTCCCCAACAACAACGGCATTTTTGTAATAATAATAATTTGAATGACAGAATGTAAGTAATACTAATAGTAATATTCATTAATTGATAATATTTTGACGGTTTTACCTGGTGGAATCCTGCCGGACAGATATCACAGACTGCAGCTCCAAAAGCAGGTTGGTATGATCCAGCAGGGCAGTCCACACAATCGCTGCTTCCTTTACTTGGCTGCGAGGGTTTGCATCATGATTATTGATGACGGTAATTGAGTATTTGGCCATTCAGAGGACGTTATACGCTGGTGTACGCATGCCATTTGGCATATTGTTATACACCGCAGCTACTGTAGTATGCGAATGAGTCAGCAACTAGCATGTTTGCTGGCTAATTTGCATGTTTCAGTAAGTCTACATAAATTAGGGTTAATGATTATTGAAATAAGCCTGTTTTGATTTGCCGTACCATCCACGAGATCAGCCTTAGCTGATAGATTACACTAATTACAAGGATCACCTGGTAATTACACTAATTACAAGGATAACCTGGTAATAACATTAATTACCTGATATTGACCGGGATGACAGAGTGAGCAGGATCGTGCTTCTTTAACTTTACTAGAACCAGCATCACACGGTCTACATCTGTGTACAGAGCTCCCTGAAGATAATCGGGGTTGGGTTGTGTTGTAAAGTTGTAGCCCTGTTGAAGTGTAAAATGGGATTTAAGATTTGAGTGGCCGATGGTTCATGGTGGGAAGATAATGGATTGAGATGCGAAACTTGGGTAAAATAAAATTAGCAGATGGAAGACAGACGCTGAAGGAAAATGAGTTGAAAATGAGGGGGGGGGGGAGAGAGAAATAGTGAAGGCGGGAAAGTGGGTACCAGTAAAGAGGGGGGAGAGAAATAGTAAAGGCGGGAAAGTGGGTACCAGTAAAGAGGGGGGGAGAGAAATAGTAAAGGCGGGAAAGTGGTTATCAGTAAAGAGGGGGGGTGAGAGAAATAGTAAAGGCGGGAAAGTGGGTACCAGTAAAGAGGGGGGGGGGGGGAGAGAAATAGTAAAGGCGGGAAAGTGGGTACCAGTAAAGAGGGAACTGCAAAAACAGCAAAGGATATTTTAGTGGGAACTAGGTAGCGCTGGTCTCTAAACCCTACCTGTGACAAGACGATAAGCTATGTTGGATGTAAGTGTTACAATCTGCCAAAAAGGAGACAGTTTTTTACCACGTAGAGTGTTCAGCTCGTATCCTGAAACAAGTTTTAAGTTTTACAGCTGGTGATAATAGTAACTTCATCCAGGTTAATTGCACGATGAGAATCAAAGACAAAGAGATTGTCGATCAAATCGGAAAACCTCATTCAACGAAAATATTGTAACTAATTTCTCAAAATATTTTCCTTAAATACCTTTCAAACTCCTTAAATACTCCTTAAAATACTCCTTAAATACTCCTTAAATACCTTGAGTGCACTGTCCCCGGTGATTGGGAAATGTTTTCTTAAAGTTCCTGATGTGGTCCACACCCAACGCTTTCCCATCTTGAGTCGTTACCACTGTAGAAAGTTAATTAGCAATTATAATTAGGTTGTTAGTCGTATCATTAGTAATTAGTTAGCAATTAAAATTAGGTTGTTAGTCGTATCATTAGCAATTAGTTAACAATTATAATTGAGTTGTTAGTCGTATCATTAGCAATTAGTTAGCAATTCTAATTAGGTTGTTAGTCGTAACTCATATCATTAGCAATTAGTTAGCAATTATAATTAAGTTGTTAGTCTTATCATTTAAATTTGATACGACCAGAAGAGTAACTGGTCAGTTCATGGATAATCATATGATTGGTCGCTGTAAGGTTTACAAATATACTGCAGTGTCCAGTCACTTGGCTGTATAATAAATAGCTTTATTCCAGGCAGTAATTAGTACGCTGTAAAGTCTCTAACTGAAGATATAACTTGATCCAATATATGACGTGCATGAAAACAACCGAAACGTGCCTTATTTTAACTGTACTTGTTTTCCAGATCAGATTGGAGACTCAAGGAACTGCTTACCATTTATCCAGAGAATTCCGTTGATCAAAAAGAGGAATGTGATAAACGCAAGAATTAGATCATCAAAAGAAATCTGAAAATTAAAAATTGTCATTAAATTCATATTCATGTAATTTTGGCAAATGATCTACAGCTCACGATTCATCCAATTCTGATAAATATATAATTTGTTTACTGTTAGAAAATAACATGTTCTCTAAAAACTAACCTTGCGTTTGCCGACAGCTGGGTTACCATTCCTACAAATAGCAAGGAGTCGACCGTACATGTTGTCATACAGTTTCCTACATCGAACAGAGAGTACAGGGGAGACTCCAACTACAAACGAGGTCACCTAGGTGGAGGGGGAGGGGGTTAATTAATTAAGTAGAACTGTTAGGGCTATAAAGGACATAATATAATATTCATATTGGGGACTAGTGACATTTAATAGTCAGATATTGGTAATCTGTTAAGGCGATACTGCGGACTGGTGATTGACAAGCGTTATTATAACGCGCCTATAATGCCGCCAACGCAGAGAAATGGGTGCCGCCAAATACCACCATCATATAAGCTAAAATAGCTACTAAAGTAGCATTACTTTTACTAAAATCAATAGCAACACTGCAAAATCTCTGTAGTCACCTATATAAATAACGCTCGATCAGTGGAGACCAGGAATCGGATAAAATCAAAGCTTCACACACGCGAAAAGCAAACCAGGCCTATCTGAATACAACGATCAGCTGTACATCAACATAATTGCCAGAAAAGCTAACGATATCTATGCTAATTCAACAGAAGTGTACATTGATACCACACAGTTGGTCAGGCGGGCGGATCACTGGGCAGCTTCATTAATAAAGGTGGAAATTGAGTGGTGCCGTAGGTTACGTTAAGGTACCCCAAGGGGCTGCTAACAGCTGTATAAAGGGAAACTGAGGAAAACACCAAGCTTATAACATCTTAACATGGCCAATGTACTGCATGGACATTATGGAATACATTGTAAGTAAAATGTAGCCTACTTTATATTAGCCCTGAGGTTATAGCCAAGAGGATTCCAGACGGACCCCCTGATCCCTACCTTGTCATGCAATTGGTACTGTGCTTATTAAACCTGCGTGAGTACGACGTCGTACTACTTTAATTAAATGTACGGTTCATGCACAGTGCACTGTATTAGTATGTATAACGACACTAGTACTATAAGTATATTGCGAAATTGTGGCAGTATTATACTGCTATCGTGAAATTGTGCGGTAACCAATATGGGTCGGTAAATGAGTTGAGCCAATCATCAGTCATATGCTCAGATAGTACAACATGTACTATATACTTATAAAGGTACTCTCGCAAGCAAAGGGTAGGACTCAATTTCAAAATCGGATCCAGGCTTCTATAGAGTATGTAGACATCTACGGCATGACAATAATGATTGCTTTTAATAGTTGTATCGGTGAAATTGGTCTCAACACTCAGCCCTAGTAGCTGGCCCTGAGATTCCTAATTCCAATGCCTCCGACAGCGAACTATAAAACGTTTCGAGAATAGTATGTCCAGAATGAAACGAGAAAAACATTCAGTTCTATGATAAATTTAAATAACGCTCAATCCGATTGCAACATTGGTTTTGATCCTAACAAACAGTCGCCTTACGTTATGTTGGTAGAAACGATGCCGATTTAGTAAACATACAACAGAACTATGATGATTATATCAGCTTAGCGATAACAAGAGCAGATTCAAGGACGATAATTACATAATTAACAACTTTAATTACATAATTAACAACTTTAATTACGCAATTGACCAGCGTTATTGGTCCACTAATCTCAGCACGAACGTGGCGGCAAATAATCACAAGCGATTTGCAGTTGGATTAGCATACCTGCAATTTATAAACAATTATAATTGCCATGATAATTTTGTTTATACCGTGCTATTAACAGTAAAATAATGCGATAATGTTGAACTCACAAGAGCGTTTGCTATCCTCCGAAACTTAACACGGTTGATAACATCCACTTCTCCCAACATCTATTCCGTGATCTTCACCACAAAATACGCTGCACTAATATATCTACCTATAATACGGCCAGGTCGGGTGTAGCAAACAAACCAAGCAGCTCGTTAACTATAACAGCTCTAATAGCAGGCTACTCTCCCTGCCGATCCAGGCTGGAAGCCAGAGAGAGAGAGAGAGGGAGAGAGAGAGAGTACGTGTAATGACTGGCGAGACGAATTAAGAAAGAGAGTACGCAGAGAGCTTGCCTCGTGTGTAATGTTTAGTTATATACCTACTAGGAAATCACTATCTGCACTGTCTCCCCCATTAGCCTCGCGTGTGTGTGTGTGTGTGTGTGGGGGTGTGTTCTTATCTTATCTACACAGTGAGTGCGTTATCAGTACACGAGCAGCTCTCTCTCTCTCTCTCTCTCTCTCTCTCTCTCTCTCTCTCTCTCTCTCTCTCTCTCTCTCTGATTACACACGGGTGTGTGTCGTGTGTCATCAGTCATGTGTGGGATAATTAAGTCATCATTGTAACTGAGGAAATGGTTGATCTGTTTTCCTGCAAACTAATATCTCGACATATAGATCTCCTTGTGCAATGTGCGACTGAATGGTTGCAGGTGCACTTATTCATTGTCATTTGCTAGAATCGAGAGATTATAACCGACTAACACTTTAAAAGTTTACACTTTCTGGGGGAGGGAAATGACTCTGCAGTCTGCAGAGTCCTTATTAACAAAGCAATTGAAGCAGATTTTTACAGATTCTTACTTATGCTCGATTGTAAAATGTAGATGGCATATATTAAACAAAAGTTGTAATGCCTCTCAAGTCAAAATCTTGAGCAGTTTTGAACAAAGTTACCTCTATAAAGTTTGACGCTCTAACTTCACGAGCTATATTGTTGCTATAAATGAGCTTCAGGCAATTTGAATTACAGCCCAAATCGTTTGGAAACTATTAAATTTAACCAACCTTTCTATTGACCGCAAGATACGACATTAAATTATGTACTAATATTAAAAAAAACTTTCGCCGCTACTCAATCTTGATTCTTGAGCACTAGAGCTGCAGTTTTAACAGTTTTTCCCTGACCTCATGAGTTTCAGGGCAATCAAAATTCACAGCCTAAATCGTTTGGGAACCATGACGCGATCGTTAAATCGACCGCACTATAAGACTATACGAGAATAGAATAGTTTACTTGATCAAAAGTTTTACCGCCACTCAATCTTTAGCAGTTTTTACAATGTTTTAACAATGTTACCTCCAACTTCATGAGCTTCAGGGCAATCACACCCCAAATAGTCTGGAAATAATTAACCACCCGTTCAATCGACCGCAAGTTACGAGAATATAAAAGCATGGGGTTTTCTTAGAAGTTAGAAGTTTCATTAGTAAAAATGAGGCTCGATCAATTTGTCGAACCCGTTGATATTCTTTCTGTTGGTCCACGTCCTCTTTTGATAAAGGATGTATTCAGTAATTTAGCATATCATATGAAAAAAGCATCTGCCGAAGGAACTCAATGGAAAGTCACTGATATTTATCGAGCTGTTGCTGTAGATATTTTGACATTTGTTGGTGTTGTTCTTTCAGACCTTCAGCCCGCCGAATTAAAACGACGCAAAGTCTACATCGTTGAGTGAGTTTTTAATTTGCTGTTTTTAAATTGATTTCGCTTATAGTTATAATAGAGTGATAGGGATTTGTCTGACACATTTAATCAATTTTGTCTTCAAATTAATGTTTTGTATGATTTTAACCGTATAAATACTTAAACAATCGCCCAAATGAGTAACCTGAAGAACCACCTTCCAGTCGGTTGAAGCGTATCGATGGGAAACGACGAAAATTGACGCCAAAGAACAAACAGAAGATTAAGGATGACTTTAACAAGGCCCTACTCGAAGAGTTTCAGATCTTCCCGAAGGGACAGGGGCCAGTTTGATTCCTTTTCCGAAATTTCACAGTTTTTACTGAATATTTGACTAGTGATCAATCAGTGAGGTCAGTGACTGACACAAGTCGCCGTCGTGGATGGCACAAGACACGGTTGAATATTAAGGTACTGAAAGTTAGTTTACCAAAGAAATATTTGATAAGCGGAAAATCGTCGGAACAGAAGGAGTCATTTGGATGATTTTTGGATGAATGCTTTTCTGTCGAAATTTCACAGTTTAGACTTTTGACTGCATATTTGACCGGTGACCAATCAGTGGCTAATTTTGAATACTTTAAATTCTCAATTGAACTTTTTAAATCTTTTGTTTCACTTCCTTTGTTAAATGTTAAGTAGAGAATGCAAGTACATCTAATAAAACAAGAACTGTGAAATGAGATAATAAAAATTTATTAAAAACCATTAAACATAATCAAGAAAGCTCAATAAAAAAGTCAAAACAAAATGTAGTAAAATTCTTTGCGTAAAAGAATCAATATCCAGCTTTATTGAAAATAACCGGCAAATTTGAAGTAAGGTTCCAAAGAAATAAAGGAAGCATCGATCAAATTAATGCCTAAATAGGACCAGTTACAAATCACAGCATTGATTTTATTTTTATCGCTGCCTTTTTGCAGGAGTATAATTTCGGCGTACAGAGCCTGTCCCGAGTTAAATAACTTACTGATTTAAGTAAGCAGCAAACATCAGACCTCTCACCCTCTCAAACTGCTCCAGAAAATTACTGTCAATGATTACCCTAAAACGTATCCAAGGCAAGCTAGATCAGTACACCGGTCCTACACAAAGTGCTTACAAGAGAGGTAGAAGTTGTGGCGATATAATTTGGTCTCAACGTATGCTAACCTCAGTGGTACTTAGAAAGCATTGGAGCTACCACAGAATGAGTATAGACATGTCAAGTGCCTTTGACACATCAGCAGAGAAACAGTACTCAATGTTCTTGAAGATGCTGGCTGTACAGTGATGAAATTAGGATGGTACGGTCCTACTATCAAACACAGTGTTGAAAGTAAAAGTCAATAATACTGTATCAATTTGATTCCCAAAGCAACATAAATTTAACAACTTTCTATTGACGCAAGATACGACATAATATGGTAATATATTAAAAAACTTTGCTTACCATCATTATTCTGAGCACTAGAGCTGCAGTTGTTAACAGTTTCCTGACCTCATAGTTCAGGGCAATCAAAATTCACAGCCAAATCGTTGGAACCATGACGCGATCGTAATCGACGCACTATAACTATACGAGAAGAATTTTCTTGATCAAAAGTTACGCCACTAATCTTTAGAGTATTACATGTTTACAATGTTACCCCAACTTCTGAGCTTGGCAATCACACCCCAAATAGTCTGGAAATAATTAACCACCCGTTCAATCGACCGCAAGTTACGAGAATATAAAAGCATGGGGTTTTCTTAGAAGTTAGAAGTTTCATTAGTAAAAATGAGGCTCGATCAATTTGTCGAACCCGTTGATATTCTTTCTGTTGGTCCACGTCCTCTTTTGATAAAGGATGTATTCAGTAATTTAGCATATCATATGAAAAAAGCATCTGCCGAAGGAACTCAATGGAAAGTCACTGATATTTATCGAGCTGTTGCTGTAGATATTTTGACATTTGTTGGTGTTGTTCTTTCAGACCTTCAGCCCGCCGAATTAAAACGACGCAAAGTCTACATCGTTGAGTGAGTTTTTAATTTGCTGTTTTTAAATTGATTTCGCTTATAGTTATAATAGAGTGATAGGGATTTGTCTGACACATTTAATCAATTTTGTCTTCAAATTAATGTTTTGTATGATTTTAACCGTATAAATACTTAAACAATCGCCCAAATGAGTAACCTGAAGAACCACCTTCCAGTCGGTTGAAGCGTATCGATGGGAAACGACGAAAATTGACGCCAAAGAACAAACAGAAGATTAAGGATGACTTTAACAAGGCCCTACTCGAAGAGTTTCAGATCTTCCCGAAGGGACAGGGGCCAGTTTGATTCCTTTTCCGAAATTTCACAGTTTTTACTGAATATTTGACTAGTGATCAATCAGTGAGGTCAGTGACTGACACAAGTCGCCGTCGTGGATGGCACAAGACACGGTTGAATATTAAGGTACTGAAAGTTAGTTTACCAAAGAAATATTTGATAAGCGGAAAATCGTCGGAACAGAAGGAGTCATTTGGATGATTTTTGGATGAATGCTTTTCTGTCGAAATTTCACAGTTTAGACTTTTGACTGCATATTTGACCGGTGACCAATCAGTGGCTAATTTTGAATACTTTAAATTCTCAATTGAACTTTTTAAATCTTTTGTTTCACTTCCTTTGTTAAATGTTAAGTAGAGAATGCAAGTACATCTAATAAAACAAGAACTGTGAAATGAGATAATAAAAATTTATTAAAAACCATTAAACATAATCAAGAAAGCTCAATAAAAAAGTCAAAACAAAATGTAGTAAAATTCTTTGCGTAAAAGAATCAATATCCAGCTTTATTGAACATAACCGGCAAATTTGAAGTAAGGTTCCAAAGAAATAAAGGAAGCATCGATCAAATTAATGCCTAAATAGGACCAGTTACAAATCACAGCATTGATTTTATTTTTATCGCTGCCTTTTTGCAGGAGTATAATTTCGGCGTACAGAGCCTGTCCCGAGTTAAATAACTACTGATTTAAGTAATAAAATGTCGCAGAACAATCCGCCAATACCCAGAAACACCAAAACTGTAAAAAACCAAATCGTGAACAGAGAGAAATTGTAACTACAGCTGACGAGGAGGTTTGTATTGGGTTGAGTATGCCTGATGCCAGTTTCTGGGTTTAGTACTTCATTTCAGTAGGATGAAGATCATAAGTGGCTACCAAGATATGATCTGGCTTTTCGAGTCGTAAGAAGTTGAGTAAAAGGATCTCCCAGCATCTCAGTCAAAACAACACCGATAAACGAGATATAATCCCCCAGATTCAGTCAAAATACTAATAGCTCCGATAACATGGTGCGATGGCTGGTTTTTTTTCGGAATGACATAATATTTTATAATACATGAACTGTAATATGCTAACGAGCATGGAAACTAGGTTAATTTAAATTTGGAAACCTCTTGGTTTGAAAAACCTCATTATTTCACGGTGACACCCATGACAGCAGTGGCCATAAATATCTGGATCGGAGATCAGAGTGAGAGAGCACTTCTGGTATTAATATTAATGGTCCACTTCCTCCTACTCATTCGTATATCCTCCCTTTTACATGCCACACAGTTCCTGTCCCGTACTCCACATGTCACGTGGCTCACAAATGCCCGCCAAATTTTTTTAAAGGCCTAACTCAAAATTCTGAGATACGGGCGATTTTGTTCATTTTTTGCGATTATT